AAATAAAGCAACGTGGCAATCTCTATCTATTTTAGTCCACAATCACCCTCAGGTGAGCGGCCTCTTCTTTTGTGCACCATTCAACTAGGTATCTGGCCTTCTTGAGCCACTAGCTACCCGTTTATAACCGTACTATCATTTGGTCAACAATCTTATAGCCTGTATAGAGACCCAGATACCTTTCGCTATATTCAGTCACCACACTCGGATAGTTCGTATTATCTCTTATTAACCGACTTCAAAAAAGAGGAGGTTCTCAGTTCGACTGTATTTTTGGTATGTATGTTACTGTGATTCTTTTTTTGTTGGAAAGAGGGTACCTCCATAACGGTTCCATTTCATTTTGAAGAAAATCATCCACCTCTAAGAGTGGCTGTTCACGCATGAAGATTCATTTTTATAAATAGCGCCTAAATTTTATAATAAGGAGCAATTATTTTAATGGTTGATTTTGCTATTCTCTAATTCAAGGCGTTTTTCTCTCTCAATATACTTAGAGTAGTAAGAACAGATTTTTATTATCTGATGTGTCAAGTTGCGAACTAGAGGATGAATCCGGGTTTGCGCACTTTCCGGTAACCGATTTCAAAAAAACTTGGCAAATACCTTTGAGGTCGGTTTTTTTAGTACTCTGTACTGAGATTGTTTTAAATTTCTGCCTTGCCAAGTCACCTGCTTATCTCTCTAGTTCAGTAATGGGGATGCCTAATTCCACAACTTTAGTTTGCTGTCGAATTTTGGTATGTCGATATTCAACGTGACAAGTTTCATGGCCTTTTACGCAGCCTTTATTTGCGTAGTCCAGTCAGATTTGTGTCTGTAACTAAACTGTAACTACACCGAGCGTCCCCGCACAGCATATCATTCCTTTCTTCTACATCTGCTGCACCCTGGGCAACATCGAAGAGTGCCATACGCCGACTGGCAAATCCTTTCATCACGATGGCAAAATTATAGTATATGCCGTCGATACGATAAGAAGATGTAGCCTCCTTCATTCTTTATGATCCATTGCAAGCTTTTTATCTCGTTGTAGCTGCTAACTTCGAAAAAAATATTTAAAATTATATTCACTTTATAGTTTCGGTGGTTGGAACGACAATGCTATTGAAAACAACATTAACAATGACAATTTGTTATGTACAGAAATGTTTTGAACACGGTATACGTCTTTTGAACTTCTACTTCTACTTCTTCTCGCTATAACGGCCATTGTCTTCGTGAAACTTTTGTGAGTAAACTGAAGGAACAATGTGCGAATAATTGCAATACCGAGCTTTTAGATGCTTTGCTATTGGATGATGGAGGTTGAAAATGCTTGTGTTTTAATTAGATTATTACTTCTTAGATTTTTTTCAGTACTAAAGCATGGTACGGGGCTCTTTACAGGTCCCGTGATACTCAAACTCTATTCAGATCCGAAAAAACTTTGAGCGTTTTATGTATCATTGGATACGCTCTCCATTTCATCATGTCCGCGAGTGGGAGCGAAGCGTAACACCGTACAAATTACCTGGATAGAAGCTGACCCAGTTCCCTTTATACCTGTGTATATATACTGTACATAACATAGCAAATAGTTGTCACTTTGGAAATCCAAGGTGACATATAAAAGTAAATCTTTTATACGAACTTTGTGGCGTGAGATTCTTATTTAGAAGTAGGATCTATCTCTAAGTATGTATATTAAGACGTAGATATTTTTCTCCACTTCCTACTTCGTTGTTATTTTCTTCTTTCCCTCACTTTCTGACTTTGTAAATTATGATTGATAAAGAGATACGGAAGTGTCACAATTTTCCATCCCCATCCATTACAATATGTAACACTATTTCATATTCAAAAGAAGAAAATGTTATCGGTTCACAATCGTCATCAAACTTATGTTTAGTGTCAGTCTTAGATACTTATGACCTTTGTAATAATAAAATCTAAATACTTTCTAGGATCATCAACAGTTTATAATCATCATCAACTTATGTATACGTTCCACTTCTGGGCACGGGTCTCTTTTCAGACAAGAGTTTAGGCCATAGTCCGCCATGCTGGCCCAATGTGGGCTAAGGACTTCACACATTATCCGATTGTTGTGAACTTTCTTTTGAGAGGTGTAATCTGTAGCACAGGTCTGCTTACCTAGTATGGACTCCAGTCTCTCACTTAAGGTAGTTAACTTGTAGCTTAATTGAAATAATAACCAATCTAGAATTATGCAACCTTCTCTTTTATTTTTTCATCATGATGATTTCCTTCGCCGAAAATTTCATGGTAAATTTTAAATTCAATTTTACACATCCGAGAATAATAGAGATGAGAGCCCGGATTCGAACCCATGGCAGTTAGGGTACCATGGATTTTATTAAGTAACGCAACGTATTTAATAAGTATTGAAACGTATTAAGTGGCGAAATTACGGGCTCATAAGACTTGTCAACTTATGTCTCAGGGTGACGGAAGTAGTAGAAGTATCACTGAGATCTTTACCATTTAACGCTCGACATGCGTGTCATTTAATATCTACTAGGCACACGACTTGTTGTCCCGTCATTTTGGTATCTTAAAAAAAAACTTAAGTAAAGCGACAGTTTATAATAATAAATTAAATGGTCTATTTTACACCTACGAAGACGAGCGATACAACGAGGTAGTTGCCAAGGTTATTCGAAGTTTGCTTGCAATTCAACTCGCATTAAGGTTGTTTGCATGTAAGGAAACTTTATAACTGCTTGGCACATCTACGTCATTATACCTACTATAAACTAGGTGGTCGATATTTTGCTTGGGACAAAACAAAATCTGACCCGGATTAGGTTTTTTATGATACCATAGTCGGGACAACAGATCCTGCACCTGGTGGTAAGAAACGAGCTTTAAATCACAAAGATCTAAGGCGCACTGCCACTACGCCCGTCACCCTGAGACATAAGTTGACAAGTCCCATGTGCCTGTAATTTCAGCAGGTTGTTAGTCAATTTACAACAACAAATGTATCTTCATAATGATTTAAGGAACGATGACAACAACTAACACAGTAAGTTAGAAGCGTAAGAGGGTCGCGGTTGGTGCGGTTCGGTGAGCCGAACCTGAATTACTACAAGGCGCTGTCGTAAAATACCGCCAGGTGGACGATGATGACATCGTAGATACATATCTGCGGCAATTAGAAGCATCCAAAACATTGTAATACAATTTAATTTTTGTTGTTTACGATACGTTCGAAAATAGTTTACATATGTTGGGTTGAAGGTCTATATGAGGTCAAATGAAGAGACAAACCAAGTCAAAACATGATAAGATTGAAAATTGCTTGATTATTGACTTGAGGGCATTCCAGTTTTGGCCTCTATTTACAACGTTCGTATAACATTGGGGATTAATTTAAGAAATTGTGTCATGTAAATACTCCTTTAGTTCTGACTTTTTCATCGCTAAAAGTTTCGTCGTTGGGAGGGTTCATATGAAATGGAAATAACGACATGACTGTCCTTTAGGTAGTAGCATTCACTCTTGAAAAACATATCTATAATCTAGGTATACTACAAGGGAAAACGCTGAACCCTGTTCGTTGGTGTATTCTCTTAGTCGTAGTCGACATCTAAGGAAGTGCTAGGGTGACAGTATTGTAAGTAATAAAACCGGAAAGCAATGTAAAAGTATAACTTATTGGAATAGCTACACCAACTGGTACCAACTCATCTGCCTCCCATCTGTCCAGATTATACAATGAATATAGTGCCACAGATTATGTTCTCGGACTATCTAACCGGTTTCCTCAGAGCAATTCTTAGCAAGTAAATAGGATAACATCTTGTCTATATATTTTTAAAGTTATTATTTTGTTATTCTGTTTGTGTTGTTTTTATATCCATATATTCCTGTTTGCTAGCCCTAAAATATTATTATTTCGCTCAGTGGAAGATGTGTTTCGTCTGTTGCTACTTGTGCATCTTGTCAAAATACTCTTACCTATTCAAATTGAACTTGAAATTTGATATAACAACTATTGATGAACGTAATAAATAAAAAAATATTAAAAAATTTATCGTTTTTAAGTTAGTACGTGACCTAAAAATTTCCTATATGATTTCCTTCCAACGGCTATATCATGCGGCCATATCTAATGCAAGTTTTTTTTTTATAATATCAAGTGACGAGACGAACAAGTTGTGCACCTGATGGTATGCTACACGCCTCTCCACAACAGTTGCAGTGTCACTCAGAGCTTTAAATCGCAAAGATCTGAAGGGCACTGCCATTGCATCCATTACTCTGAGATATAAGTTGATAAGTCCCATGTGACTGTAATTTTACCAGCACCTTTACCCTTCAAAACCAGAATACTGCTGACATTACTGCTTGGCGACAGAAAGAGGCCAGGTGGCAGTACTTCCCTGAACGAACTCTTTGACAAAGAGCTCTACTGCTAAAAGTAATATAGTAGTAATGGTATCAAGATTTTAAAAACACTTACAAGACTTTATACGATAAAAGATGAAATGCTAGTTAAGTTAAGATAATCGTTTTAACATATTTTAAACTGAGATGACGAAGACGGACGATGACTAATGCTGATTTGTTAAAAATTACTAATAGTTTCTGAATGACTATAAAACAAACAATTAAATATACTTATACAAAAAGTTTTGTTTAATTCACGCAAATTATTCTCATGGTTCTTTTTCTAATCTAAATCCTTTGTAGAATAAATTTTGACTGCTTTAAAATAATTTTCAGATCAATATATAATGCCTAGGTATTTTAACGTCCTTCAATTTATATGCAAATCTCCACCTACTAGTTAAAATATAAAGAAAGAGCAAGCATTATAAAAATTTGTCCATAAAAAACCTTATTTTCCTAAAACCACCAATTTGTTTCCATCAAACTAATCAAAATAAACCCAAATAGTCTTAATAAAAGGGCAAAAATGGTACACCCTACGCAAGCTGCAAATATTAGGTACGGGCGCGGCGTCAAGCTGGCGTTGCTGAGAATCAGTTGGTCCCGTTTGCTGCTCGTGAGTGCTCGTACCTTGTTCCCTTAACCATGGCCCGAAGTGTAGCTTTGAGCTTTGCTGTGCTGCTGGCAGTGTTCGAAATTGGTACGTTTGTATTTGCTTTTACTCTTTACAACATTATATTTACAAGTTTTTTTTATTATATTCTTACTTTTTATGTTCATTATCTTTGTTTATATTAAAATAAGATTATAATAAGACTGTAAAAGAAAAAGTATTTAATTTTTATTTATTAATATTGGAGCCATGTTCCGTTTAGAAAATTTGTTTTTTATGTCGCTTTAAAGAACTTTTCAGACAACTTCCTATGTATAAAGAAAAGATAGAGACAATATTAAGTGCAAAGCGGGACAAATAACTTATAAAAAACGTAGTACCGCTATTCTCGTCTTCGAGATAAGTAAAATTAAATTCTCTTCAAAGAATATTTTCAAAAAAAGGAGGTTCTCAATTTGACTGTATTTTTTTTTGTTTGTAATTTGTGAACCGATTCAGATAATTCTTTTTTTTGTTGGAAAGAATGACTGGTCAGTATGGGTCCCATTTAAATTTGAAGAAAATATTCGACCTGTAACGGTAGCAAAGGGAATGAATTCGGTTTCGCGCTCTTTCCATTAACCGATTTCAATGAAACTTGGCAAATAGTACATCTATTTGCCAAGTTCCATAAACTTTTGAGGTCGGTTTTTTTTATAAAAAGCTTATTTCGAATATTTTTCTAACTATGAGATCAAGTTTATTTTTAGCTCCCGACGCGGAAAGAGGGGAGTGGGGGGTATATTTGAAGCCTTAGACTATGTGGCTATGAATTTGTGTGTCTGTCTACGATAGGAGCTACGCTGTTTAAAGGTCATCAGCTCTTTTCCCTGTTAATGTAGGGGTTCTAAGACATAAAATGAATGTTTATTATATTACTTCGACTAGTCCGATCGACTTGAAATTTTGGCACATAATGGTATTCCGATGACAATACAATAATAATAATAACCTTGATCAGTAGGGCTAGCACGATAGCGCGCGGCTTGTGCGAGAGCGACATTAAGCGCGGGATACTGTTATTATCGCATAGAGAATAACAATATCTCGCGCTTCTATGTCGCTCTCGCAAAAGTCGTAATGTTGATTAAACTCTACCTGTTCCTTCGTAAGACAAACAATCCACTGAGAAGAATGAGTAAGAAACTCTAGGAGATGCTCTTTGTGAATAAATATTTGTACACGTTTATCATTTACAATTTTAATTTCTATCACGACAAACTGCCAGAGTAAATTTTTTAACTAGATGAGTTCAAGGTATATAATTTCATTTTCTTTTTTTTTTTCTACACTTACGAGAGATATAAGTGTTGGCCATACAAATATTTATCCCGACCCGGGAGTTGAAGCGTCGACATCTGCGTGGCAGACTAGCATAGTAACCGTTTGGCTACAGAGACACTTACATTTATCATTTACAATATTTATTTCAAATATAAGAGATCAAGACAATCTGCAAGAGGTAAAAGAATCACTATCGTGGATTTAAAGCGCGAGATACTGGTATTGTCGCATAGAGAATAATAATATCTCGCGCTTCTATGTCGCTATCGCGCAAGTCGCGCCCTGTCGTGGTAGCCCTAATGAGTGCGACTACTTTTTAGCTTACATATGGTGACTTTATTGCTTTTTTTTAAGTACACTGCTATATATCGGAAGTTTACTGAATTTAAATTAAAGTGTTACTCGAATCTCGTTCTCACTATGAGTTCAAGTTTATTTATAAATCAACGTTATTCGGTCATCCGCGTGTTGACAGAGCGAAAGCTTGATATACCATCGTTGCGTAATCGCGATACGCGTTTATGAGGTATTTATTTTGCAAGCAATTGTATTTTTTGAATTGTCGCAATGTTGGTTGCGTAATTACATCTTTATTGTATCGTATTTATTGTATGTTGAATTCAGTAACCATAAAGTTCATTTATTTCCGAATAATCGAAAACAATTTTGTAATTCAATTTAATAATTTCCTTAACAAGCCAACCTTTGGACGCCAAGTAAAATTTTTTACAAATTAAAGAAGAAGAAGAAAGAAAGACAGAAAGAAAATACGTTTATTTGACTACCACAAATGACAACATACTAGACAATAAGAAACAAACCATAAGAGAATACTTATCAAAAATATTCACTCTTAATTATTTATCCGCGGTTAAATCAGTTGAGAGTTGAAATATACGATACCAACCATAGCCAGTTCTACAGCTTTGTGGCTATTGTGGCGGAAACCCTGGGGTCCTGGTGGCCATAGGCGATAGTCTACGATAAGGAGACGAAGTCAAACAATCTTTATTTCATAGATAAGCAAATTACACATGAAATCGGCATAATGATTGTACTCTACTGCTCATTCGTAACGCAGATTCCCCTGAGAAGAGTGAGCATGAAATTCTAGGGGTTGCTCTTTGGAAATAAATATTTGTCTTTTACAATATTAATTTCCATGGAAACAAATTGCAAGAGTAAAGTTTTTAATTATACGAGTTCAAGGTATATAATGTTAGTATTAGTAAGCGCATTGCGCACTGTATCCGGTTCGTATTCGTTCGGAATCCGAAACTATACAAATCTAGACAACTCGGACCCACTTCGGATGTCGCTTGTGCACTACATATGTCCGATTCTAATCCAAGGCAATACGAATATCACTTGTACACTTAGAGACAAAATGATCCCTGTGACATTTCAGACCGTCATTTCTCGGATTCAAAACTGGCCCTAAACTCTCATTCTCCGTCCGACATCCGTCCGAAACCATTACTGTCAAATAAGTAATACTCGACCAAATAAAAAAAACGCATGATGCGAATAAAGCATCATACTTGACATTGTCTTTTAATTGGTCGAGTATTACTTATTTGACAGTAATTGTTACGGCCAGATGTTGGATGGAGAACGAGAGTAAACCTCCTGATATGAATCGGACGTAGTGCGCTAATGCTCTAATTTTTCATTTATTTAGTGTCACGTAAATATTCCGATTTATTCTAATTTTATATTTTAATTTATGTCTAATATTAATATTAAACTTCCGTGTTACACATAAATGGTTCATGACTGCCTTCTCAATCAGCTGTGACCACGAAATCTGTCAAGGACCTGAAATGTCTGTTACTTTGAAAAAACAAGTACACGCAATTTTGATCCAAAAAAATAGTTTCGTTTCCTTGTGTAACAATCGCGAAAACCTAAGAACTCGATATGTAGTATTCTAAGTTTATTTAAAGCTGAATAGAAATAAATAGAGATAGAAAGAATCTGTAACCATACTATATTACATATTTAAGATTACTTTTATAGTTCGGCGTGTTGCGACAGCAATTGGCATACCATATTAAATGTAAGCCTAATTTATATTACGAAATTAGTAACATAAAATTAATTTTAGGATATTCATTTCGTACATAATTTCAAGCGTAAACATCTAATTTTATAAAATTAAATAGTTTCGTGAGTCGCGCGATTTTTTTTGGTAAAGCTTGTGTATGCAAATAATTTTATTTTTTGTTTTTTGTTTTTGTTACTTGCAATGTGAAATTAGTGTATTATAGCTATATGGGGCTTCATATACTAGTTCAGAGATTAACTTTGATGCACCAATAGGGTTTCTTGATAACCATTCGCAAATCTACCAACGTCTTTGTTTTCGAGACATTCTTTTTATTATTTTTTAATAAACATCTGTGTAACATTATTATGCATTGCAAAATATTACTCGAATATCACTGGTACCATAGTTGCTGCGATACTAAAGATGTCACGACACTAATTTTTACTTACATGTGTATTGAAATTAGTTTCGTGAAATCAATTCCAACATGCGTGAAATAAGTTTCGTAATGTAAATTCGGCATAAAGTATACAATATTCGCATTCATTCTTAAAATTATATTATTTTATATATTTTTTTTAAAAAACAAACTATGAATTAATAAAAGGAAGAACACGTATCAAAATAATTCATAAATAGATAGATAAAGGTTAGCAGGCTTTAAAATTTAATTGTCAAATACTCATGTACTTACATACATTAGCAATACAATTTGTCACAAGCAATTCAAATAGTACTTTCTTTTTAATAGGTAACATTTTTTGGAATAAGCAATATTGTCAGTTGTAGGATACATTAGCGAATGGCAGACACGCCCGCATTGATCCATATCTTTCGTAACTTTCTAGAGGGTATGTACAAATAACAATGCAAAGGCAGAAACTCGAAAAGATACTTTCTCCGACCCCAAAAGGTTGTATGTTGGCAACAGGGCAGTCAAGAACAAAGTAACGGCTTATATATACAAAGACAAGGTGTGCTCAGCAATTAGTTCCATGCATCCCAAGTGCTATGTACCTATAGTTTGACTCAAATTCGTACAATCTTTATTTCGTAAGCAAGTTACACTTGAAATCGTAATATTGATTAAACTCTACTACTCATCCGTAAGGCAGATTCCATTGCGAAGAATAAGTAACAAACTGTAGGGATGCTCTTTGTAAATTAACATTTGTATAAATAAATAAATAACGCACAAGTCCTGTATCGCAGGTGCCATGGACACACACATAGAGAACCACAATTTACACCCAAACTTACGAGAGACATACCTAAGTGTAGGCCATACAAATCGACTCATCCGTAGAACAAAGATCTATGTGCTAGACTACTTGTTCTCAGTATACATTTCGTTCGTTCTTCTTCGCTGTGGATCGACAGTTGTTCGATTTTATATTTTCGAAATGAAATAACATATATAAAGTCTCAAAATACCTTTACAGGCCTTAGTTTGAATAACGAAATTATAATATATAAATATAATTATAATTATACTCGAAATTTTTCTCCCGGCCCGAGAGGTGAACCCGAGACCTCTGCGTGTCAGACCAGCATCGTAACCGTTTGGCCAAGGAGGCAGTTACATTTAACATTTACAATATTTATTTCAAATGTAATAAATAGATCAAGACAAGCAACGTGCAAGAGCTAAAAAGGTCACTATCGTGGATTTTTGTGATTCCAATACGCAGAAGCTGTAGAATAATATGTAATG